GCTGGGGGGTCTGACTGCTGCCTTCAGAAATGCCCCTGAGATGAGCTCTTGCATGGAATGAGCTGTCCTTGTCCTGGAGGAGAAGCTGCTGCTGTGCTGCTCAGTGTCACTGCTGCTTCACTGCACATCTCACTGCACCCATTTGTTCATCACAGTCTGATGGTAGTTCTGATTGCTCCTGGAAAACTTCTGCTTCCTTAAAACTCCTTTCCTTTTCCTCTCTTCAGTGCATTTTCTCTTTCTCTTTCCCCTCCATGTCTGTTTCTTTCTCTTCCTCCAGGGGTTACATTCCTGTGGTTCCTGCTGCTGTCAGTGGGCACCCAAAGCCTTCATTATGAAGGGCAAAGGTGCACCCACCGTGTTATTTCCAACCACCTTGAGATGCAAGGCAGTCAGTGCCACCTACTTCTGATTTCTTAGGTGGGAGACATACAGTAGGGAGACTTTTAGAGAAGGCCATAGCCTAGTCAACAGCAAGCTGAACCCATGGTGCTTCTGCTGGGAGGCCCCAGGAGGCCCTGGGTGCTCCCTGGGACCCTGCACAGAGGCAGGGCTGCTCCCAGCTGAGATGTCTCCAAGTACATCCTCCTACCCCCCGATTCCTTGGTGCTGGAAGGGACAAGTAGGTGTTTGTGTGCAGAGAGCTCTGGCTGCAGGCAGCTCCATGGGGCTGGTCCTCAGCCCCCTGCCCACTTGGTTGTCTTCTCTTTCAGATGCTTCTCAGCTCCACAGCAAAGGGTCCAACGCGCAGCAACGCAAGTTATGACGTCTGCAAGGAGGGGAGCTAGAGCACACATAGGATGAACCAGGAGGAGCAGGAACTCTGGACACCAGCTGTGGCTTTGCTTTTTCTTTTCTCATTTCCTCACGACAACTGGAGAGGCTGAACCACAACGAGGAGCTCCTTGGGGAGTTTGCTCAGAAGCTTTTGGAGCTCGGCCCCACACCTTGAGCCGTGCCCTAAGGAGAGGAGCATTTTGTAGCACTTGTTTTGTTGCTGCTGCTGCCACTCTTCATGCATTCCCTGGCACTGGCAGGGAGGGGCCAGAACTCACAGGAGACTCAGGTGGTTTGACTGTCTTGGCTTTTCCATACCCACCTGTGTTTGCCCAGTATCTCCAAGTCCAGTTACCTCCCGGTGGAGGGTATGAAAGGTGCTGGTGCTTCTTTCTCTTGCTTTGGATTTACTTGGGTTATTCCAGCACTGCCAGTGCTTTCTGAAGACATTTGAGTGACTTTTCAATTGTACTATAAACTGCTACAGTGAAGTGGAGGATTTAACATTTCCTGCGTGGTGAATCTAACAAACCACCTGATGTTCCCCTCTGGAGGAGAAGGAAGACTCTTTGGAGAGACATTTTTAGATGCAGTCATTGACTCTGAAAGTTCTACTTCTTTTGGGGTTTGGATTTTTTTTCCTTCTGCTCAGTTTTACCTTCATTACCATCGAATGCATTGGATTGAATGGGACACTTCTCAGCATGTCACATGTATAGGAAGACATAATTCCAGTGCCTTTTATGGTGGAGCAAGAATGGACTAGTGAGACACATTTCAGCCCTGTTTTGTGTGCTCCTCAACCCTTTTTTAATCCTTCTGTATTTAAAATGTATTCTGTTTTATTTAATAGAGCTTTTTATGGTTGCACATCAAAAAAAGAAAAAAAGAAAAAAAAGAAAAAGCTGCACTGTCTGGACTTCAATGGTGTCTTGGTGACTGTGAACACAGTCCCAAATCCAGCAAGAGCACCAGTTCTTATCCCAGTTTGTGCAAGTGGGTTCCAGACCCTCCCCTAAAGCCATTCTTTCCTAGGGTCGTCAGTTGTGATCTCTTTGGTGGGCAGAGGGAATGAACTAAATGAACCAAGGTCACTACTTTAGTCAGATGAATTCCAGTGAATAATACTGATTTCTGCACTAGGATCATGTGCCTGGCACAGCTGCAGGAATGGGGACCATCTAGAGCTGGGGGGGGTCGTGTCTTTGCTTTTTCATTTTTCAACTCTCAGCCCTCACTGCTCCTCCTGGGTGCCCCCTTTTCAGCCCAGGGCAGGCTGTGCTTCCAGCTGAGCTTTGTGGGGTTTGATTTCCTGCTCTTTTTCCAGGCTGCCTTTTCTCAGGCCCCCACAACCACCTCTGAATCGTGCAGCGCTAGCACTGATCCACACAGACTTGACTGGTATTTCAAGGAACATCTTGCAACCTTCCTTCCTGAGCTTTGGGGAGGGATGCTGCCACAGACTGTACCAGCAAATACCTGCTTTAGTTTTCCCCATTTTTTGGTGAGATCTGAGATGGACTGTTTTCAATTGGAGCTGATTTCCCAGGATCAGCGCATTGTTTTGTATTCTTTATTATTTTATTATTTTTTTTTTCTTTCTTCATGCAGCTCAGATTTAAAATTTGTTTACAGCAGATCACCTAGGTCGTAGCAAAAGAGCCAAAGACAGAACTTGTTTTCTCAAACCCAAGCACAGCAGTTACTGATGGACTCTGGGCAGTGGATGTCGCGTGGTTCCCGTTGAAGGCCTAATCCTGAGAGGTACTTTGCACCTTCAGCTTCCCACGGGAGCTGGAAGAGCTTTGGAAGACGTGGCAGGACAGGGACCCAACAAGTGACTCGAGGTACCCGTTCTACTCCCTTGCTTTGCCTTCACCTTCTGCTGGGCAGCCCCTGTGTGTGGGCAGAGCAGAATGCCCTCCCTCCCTCTAGGAATTGAGCAAAGCCTCTTGCCTCAGGGAAATGTTTACTTGGTGGAAATCCTGTGGGATATTTTTCTTGTTTGGTTTGTTTTCTTTACATGCTATAATGAGTGAGTGAGTGGGATGGAGGAGAGTGGCAGCAAGTCAGGAGCAGGCAGAGAGCTGGCAGCTGATGGGGAGGCAGGACTCTGGTGTCTCTCTGCCTCAGTGAGGCAACTTGTGGCACTTTGGGTGACCCAAAGTGTCCCGTGGCACTTCCTTAGTATGGCAGTTCCTTTTGGGTGCAAGAGCTGCAGTTTACTATTATCTATTTTATTATTTTTTTTGGTGTGTGTTGGGACTGTCTTGCTGAAGATAGTGGGGGATGATATGAAAACTGTTAATCTTGTACAGAACAACTGAATAAATTGTTTCAAAGTTTCCAAAATATTTCTTTTTCCATCTCCTTTAGTCTTGTGACTTTGTTTTCAAGAATTGGTCTTTTCAGCTTAGGATGATCACCTCTTGATCATCTGGTTTCTTGGGTGAGTAGTGAATTATTGGGTGTTTTCACTGAAATCTCCTGCAAGGTCAGTAAATGGCAGCTCTGTAGCCACTGGGGTGTCAGAGCTGCATGTGCTCATTCAAGCTCATGCTTGAACTTGACATCTGCTGGGAAAGAACATGTGGGGTTCAGACCCTGGAGCAAGGGTGGGATCCTGTGGGATCCTTCACAAAGGTGAAATACTGGCATTAATCCCCAAAGCCAGGATGGATGAGCTGCTTTTGGTGAAACAGAGGTTACTGGGGTTAGGCTTGTAGCTGAAATTTGGGAAGAAGGAGATGAATATTGATGTGGAAGCCCTTGTACCTTCCCAACATCATTCCCTGTTCTCCTGCAGTCCAGTTAGTGCAGATCTGTCCCATCTCTTGCTGCTAACTGGTCCCAGCTCTAATGCTGCTCCAACCCTTTCCCTCTTGGAAAAGAGTCAACAGGTAAAATAATCAGTCTTCTTTTTTTAACTTCAGCCCCAAAATGGCCCCTTTCTATGAAGCCAAAGGCAAAGAGACAGCCATAATGAACAAAGCAAACCCAACTTCTGACTGGAACCACTGCAATTTTATTTGGTACTATAAATAGAATTCCCCTCTATTTCCCATTCCCTTACACAAGTAAATGAAACATGTAGCTGCATGTAACTCCATCCAGTAAAATACCAGCAGGAA